CCCTGAGTCTGCCGGAAAGGCAGACATCCTCACTATTCCCGCCTTCCTCACTTCCGGCTAGAGACGGACGGTAGCGCAGAGGCCGCGCTCCGCCTCCGCCAACCCCAGCTCCGCCCTGGACTGATCCTGTGGAGCAGCACCAACACTCTGTCCTTCCCCTCGCACGCCGAGTTCCTGCCGAAGGTTCCGCCTTACGTCTTGAGCCCCGCGGCGCTCCAGAGCTCTCCGCTCTGTAGCTTCCGGAGCCGCAACTGCATTCCTTCGTTTCGGGGTTTGCCTGGATGGGCCGCCGCCTGAGCCGTTATTTTCCCGGCCAGGGTAGTGGGACTGAACGGGAACTAACGCAGACTGGACTGCTACATGAGCCCTGAAATAGCTGGGAAGAACGAGAGGAGCCGACGTCCCAGGCTCTAGAGACCATTCCTCTAACTAATGCTATTCGGACTGTGGTATGTGCATCCTGAAATACTTTAAGATAAAAAATATAGTGAACAGCGACACTAGGTATATTAGCCTGTATCGGGTGTTCTGAATTACGACATGTTAGAGAACGGTCGGTAGTGATGAGATTTTCAGTAAACATCTCGCCTCGCCACCGAGAGTCAAAGGCGGCGTTTAGCCTGAGAGAGTGCCCTGGAGCAAACAAGGATAGCGTAGGTTAGAAATACCCGAACTGAAAGGGCCTTACTTGATCTAGGGACAAACTCCTATCAAAGCACAATGCCATATCTCTGCCTTGAAATTCAAAAGTGAAATGTGGTCACAGGAACGAGTGTTAAAACATTTGTTTGACTTGAAAAGTGAATTTTTTTCTGACCCAGGATATGTCTGACTTGGTTAATTGGATAGACAAAGAGTGGCGTTGCTAACTTGCAAATTATTTACTATGAATCGAGCTAAATCTGCAGCTGCAATTAAAATATATTTAAATTACAGTTAAGTTGTAGTGCTAAAGATGTGTTGAAATTAACAGTATCTTGAATTTCCCAACTCGTCCTATAGGCTTCAAAATGAGAGTAATCATAGATTTAAAAGTCACTTGAGAAAGTGATGGATTTTATTGACAGGATAACAAATTATTTTGCAAGTCAAGTTGTTTCCAGTTCTTTGCTTTCAGCTAAATTGGTGATGGGCCTAGTTGAACTGTCAGCTAATGAAAGAACATTATTTGATGTTTGGCATATAACTCAGAAGGAAAACAAAGAATTGATTGACAATGCTATAAGAAAACTAGCATTCCTGGCTTTTTGTGTGAGTGATATTTCCCAGTGCTGTATCTATGAAAACAAAAGTAAGAAAGAAACAGTTATTCAGACACGTGAGTTAATTGGTGGGGAAGCCCTGTCCACCTCACTGAGAGATGCACTTCCAGTAGATTTTTACATTTGATGTTTATGTATTAAAATTTATGATATTATTTTGTGCAGATTTTTAGTCATTCATTGTACTGATAATTATAATGATTAGTCAATTCAAAGAATTCTTTCTAATACATAGACCCATATACTATTACAAGAAAAATTTTTAAATTCTACTTTAATATGTACATACTTTTATTTCAAATATGATTAAAGGTTTTTCTAACAAAAAGTGACATTTGGATAACATTTAATGGGGAAGTGGAATATAAATGTAAATTAGAGATGAGAGAAGAAAATATACAATGAACAAATGTTAAAGAGCTTATTTGTGTAATTTTAAGTGGATGATGGTAGTTATTCAATTATTATGTAGATTCTGGGGGATGCATTATAAAAAGTAACTTTACTTAACTTTAAGTCATCTTAAATCGTCGTTATTATAATTTGCCAAAATTTGCATCCATTGCAACTATTTAAGTTAATGATGAAAACTTTAGTTTTCAACTTCAAACATGAGGAGACAAACCCTTTTTCAAAATTCTCTCTCCCTTGGGCTGTCATCACTATGCCCTCTTCAGTCCCCCGTCTTTATCTGTCTAGGTCCATCCAGCCTGGTGCACTCGCTGCAAAGCCTCGCAAAAGCTCCTGTCACCCAAACTTTGTGGCTAAGAGCACAGCTTTAGTTAGTTAGGCTGCTCGAGTGCTGGTCAAAACCGTACCACACACTAGCAAGTTGCTTAACCTCTCTGTGCATCCATTCCCCATCAGTAAAAAGAGAAAAGAGTATTTGCTGCCTGCTAAGATACACTGATTAGCTGATAGCTCCCCAAACTCATGAGAATTTTATCATAGTGTTGATCTGGAACCATGTGTCTGCAGAGATTGAGGAACAAGAAGCTGGTATGAAGTTTTGAAAAGTCACAACTATAATTCGCTCATTCATTCGACAAATATTGAGCATCTGCTAAGTACCAGACACTGTTCTAGGTGCTCAGGATATAGCAGTGAACCTTTCTTCTCCTGTAGCTTAAGTACTTAGTGGGCTGGGGTGGATGAGGGTTGACAGATATGCAAATATGTAAAAGAAAAAGTGGAGGAGGTGGTAAGTGTTCTGACAGAAAAGCAGGGAAAGGGGAAAAGCCTGTTGGCACGAGGGGCACTACTTTACGTAAGATGGTCAAGGAAAACCTGTCAGAATAGTTGACAGGGTGAGCACAGACCCAATGAAAGTGAGAGAAGCTGCCAGAGAGTATCTGGGGAAAGTGTGCCTTGCACAATGAACAGCAAGCGCAAAGGCCCGGAGGTGGGACAATGCTTTGCGTATTTGAGGACTTGGGAGAGCGTATGGAGTAAGCAGGAGGGGGAGTGCAGATCATGCCATCATGGGCATTCTTCTATTGAAGAACTTGCTCAGAGCGAAAGAAAAGCAGTTGGAAGATTTTGAGCAGAGTAGTAACATGATCTCTTTGACTATTGTGTAGAGAATGATATAATGGGGACACAGATGTAAACAGGGAGTCCAGTTAGGAGGCCATTTCAAGAACCAGGTGAGAGAGAATAGCGGCTTGGGCTAGGCTGATAACAGTGGAGGGAGAAGTGAATTATGGAAAGGGAATAAATTACTTGTTCCCCTTTGCAGAAAGATAGTGTTAATAGAGGGGCTGGTCTGTCTGGAGTCTGAAATAGGAGCCTCAAAACAGGGTATTGTCAGGGTTTTGCCAAAAGAGAGAAGCTGAATTTTGAGAACATGGAGTCTCCTCCCTGAGCAGTGGACACAGGTATACGGTGGCTCATCTACCCCATCTAACCCGAATGATAAAGTAGCTGTCAAGCCCTTTCCCTATCTTGCCTTGATTCCTTGCCAAGCATCCAAGGTCCCTTAATTGGTGCCCTGGACATACGTGCTCTGATGTCAAGAAAACTGCCCTCTCTGGGAATGAGTACTTGATATTAGTCCCTTATGGTTGTGGTGTGAATCACACATCTCTTCTTGGGAGCTGAGATCCAGGAACAAGGTGACCCCATCACTAGTTTCTACCACACTTTGCATTTAGCTCGATCTGTGTCTTCCACACAGACTATCAAGTCTGTGTCACTCTCCTGTTTAAAAGTGTCCATCGCCAACAATATGAGAGGACCTTTAAATGCCTTCCATTACCTGATACCAGTATTCTTCTAGGCCCTTCTTCAAACACGTTCCTTTTGATAATTCCCCCAAGGTGATAACCAAGTCAAAATGACTGGAACAATGCAGAAAGACACTGAAATTTAGATAGCCTCCCCCAAATTGAGACATGGCCAGATAATGCACATTGTTGATAGCCCCCACCTGTTCCATTTGCCACATCATGAATTAAAAGCTGATTTGAGGATGAGGTTAGTGTGTCTTGCCCTGAACCAAAAATCCTTCATTGTAGCTCTGGAAATAGCCAGTTCTTTAGCCACCATGAAACTCTCCTTGTTCTCCATGCAAGCCACCCTCTTTTATGGCTCTATAATGATTCCAGCAGTGGGAGTACCTTCCTGCTCGATACCTCCCTATGTAACCGTTTATGGGATAACTCAGTGTGCCCTCTTTAAAGCCTTTCCTAGGTGCACCCTGTATGCGCTGACCCGTTGACCTGTTTTTTGCTCTGAGTACAATGAAGTCTCATTTTACACAAGGGTTGCATTTTAACATCAGTGCACTGGACAAAAATGATCAAATTACCCCAGAAATCTCTAGGAAGATGCCATGTGGAAAGCCACTGTCTTGTCTCCTGTTGAATAGCATAGCCACTTTTAGTCCAGCACAGCAATAAATCAGTTTGTACACCACGTGAAACATTTCATTTAGGTGTCAAACACTAGTGTTTCAATGAGTATTACCATATTTATTGTGGCAAGAATGCACACACTCTAAGGCTTGTGGGATAGGAGACCACTGAGAAGACCATCTACTATGTGTTTCCCAGTGGGCTGTCTTTCTGGTATACACTCAGATTGAGAGTATACGCTCAAATTGGGTGTGATGGCAGGTGCCTCCCCATCAAGTTGGGTTCACATATGAATTCCCTGAAATTCAAGATGTTAAAACCCCACTGTATTATAATTCCTTGTTCTGAAACTGCCTGTTCAACCAGCCAGCCAGAGTGCACCTGAAGCACTCAGGACAGATTCCCAAGGACAATCATAATGCTTAGCACAGAGGAAATTTCAGTAAAAATTAAATAAAGTTAAACAGACTCTTTTGTCCACTCCCACCCTTGCCCAATTCTGAGTAATTGATGCAGTGAGACTCCTGGGCCAAATAGTTACCTTTAGGCCCAAGACCAGTACTAGGGTCAGCCAACCTTTACAGGACAATCCACAGCATCACCCCTCAACAGCCCTTTCTTGCTGTTTTGATTAGATCCAATCCAACCTCTTCAGCATGGAGCTCAAGGCAATATCCCTGACCACTCTCCCTTCCCATCCCAGTCCCATGGATTCATCTGTCTGACGTCTTCTGTAGGACCGCTTATGGTCTCCAGCCTGCAGAGCAGGCTCCACGATCTCAGGGACATTTTTAGCAACCACCATACCCAGTATTACCCAACCACACACAAGAAGTTGGGCTCCACTGAATCAGTCCTTGCAAGGTGATTTCGGTATGTTCTCTGTCTTTATTGATACGCCACTGTACACATCATAAGGGAAACCGTGCTTTTCTGGAGAAAGATCGGAGTCCATCACATTTCAGATGTGGAAGTAAACCCTGATGTGGGCAAGGGACTCTGGCAGTCGGAGCAGCTGCAGTAGGGCTCAGAGGAGCAGTCCCGCTTCGTGGCAGGTTTTTGGGAAATGATCATCCCCTCCAGGTTCTTCACTTTGCTTTCCACCACCTGAAGTTTTTTCAGAATTTTCTCTTGCAGACCCAAGGACAGGAAGAAATTATTATTGTCTTGAGCTGGGAGACCATTCCCTTCTGGGTTGACCAGCAAAGACTGAAAAAAATCTGAGCCCTTCTTATAAAGTTTGTAGAGTGTGATTACAAACAACAACATTTTCTAAAATAAAACAACAGAAGTTTAACATTACTTATTTATTCATGTGAAAAGCCAATTTGCTATAGATGCAAAACAAGACAAAAAGACAAAAAGAGAACAGTAAAAGTAAGCCCTCATCCCTTTGCCAAGCCTTGTTTAACAAAACATCTGCACCCGTATTTCATCTTTTGATCTTCACCACAAAATGGAGTGGTGAGCAGGTCGGGGACTATATTTGCATTTACTGAATACAGACTGTAATAATAGATACCCTTTGCTGAGTTTGCTGCATGCAGGTCCCTTTGCTAAGAGTTTTCTTGTCTATGCATGACCTATTTTTGTAGGAAAAAACAACTGAATAGCCATTTAGTTAGTTACCTTCCAGTTTGGACCCTGTCATTGTACAAGGTCAGACACCTGGAAATGGTAGAGCCAGTACTGGAAACCAGAAATTCTGGCTTCTACATATGTTCTTTTGAGACACAGTGAAGAACTGTATTTCCTGGTCATGGCAAAAAAACCCCACAAAAAATCCTTTTTTTTAATGTACCAGAACAGATTCTTGCCAGAATAAGAAAAATAATACTAGCACTGCTTATTGAGCACTTATGTGCTAAGCTTTAAATATATAGTATCTCCTATAATCCTCACAACCCTGAGGGAGGCACTGTTAACAAACCCCGCCTACAGACAAGGAAACGGGCTTTGAGGCCCACTGATTGCTCTTGGTCACATAAGTGGTAGAACCAAGATTTAAGGCCAAGCAGTTGACTCTAGAGCTCATATTATTTACTGCTCTGTTATTCTGCTGCTTTGTCTTGGTTAAGAATTTCTGGAGAGCTGTGAATTCGTTTTTCTAATTGAGCTAAACATTAACTATATGAGAGCAGAACCCAGAATTACAGATGGGAGTTATTATTTTGCCTCATATTTTTCTATTAATTAAAATTTGTGTATGTGCGTATTTACAGACACATATCCAGGCTGGGGATTTAGGCCTGTTAGATTATGTTAAATGGGATTTGGGAGAAGAATTGAATTTGCAATCCTAAAAGCTGGGTTCAAGTCTCAGCTTTTCCAGTCTCTGTCAACATGGAAAACTTGTCAAGTTTCCTTGCCTACAAAGTGGAGGTGCCCTGCCCTGCCTACCATGCAGGGTTGTGAGAAATTGAGAGCATGCGACCATGGTTCCTCAACAGAAATGACATATGGAAATAAATGAATGCTATAGATCCTGTAATAGCTTCTCTTCACATTGTCCAAGTAAACCAGTCACTCTTTAAGAAAGCCCTTTTTTAAAACCTACTTCCTTTCATTTTCACTGAAGCTCAGTTCACCTCAGTTTTTCTGTCATATGAAAATAACTTCTATCCATTTCATGGAATTGTTGGGGTTCTCAAGGCATTTTCACTGTATTGTAAGTATAGCTATTCTTATTGGTGATTAAACAGAAGTATGCAAAGTCCTTAATGTTTCTCATAATCCCAGCCAACTATACTCCTATTACTGAAAAGAGCCACTGTATAGTTACGGAACCCTAGCTCATTAAAACAAGTAATGAAAACGCTGTGAGGACTAAATGAGTACACGTGCCTCCTCATCAGTTATAGACACAGCAAGAACCCAAGACCCCAGTTATACTCACGCTACCTATTCTACTCAGGGTGCCCCAAACGGTGTCTGACGCATAGGGGACACTCAGCAGTGGTCAAATAAATTTGGGGTTAAGGCTGCCTTCTCAGGTTGTGAACTTGTTTATTATAACACAAGCCAAAGGCCACTGTGAGAAAGAGCATTTTTCAATGCTCGAAACCTCATTGGGGGAAGTTTTACAGGATAATTTAGTTTCAGCCAAGTTCGGAGACAAAGGTTCACCCTTGCTCATCTGCATGGCCTTAAACCTGGGTGGCAGCAATATGGGAGAGAACTGATCAAGTTCCATTATATAACTATTTAAATTTCCCTGTAACAAAAGAGTATAACCTGAAATGACCGAATACTTCGTTTCCATAAGGCATACAGTCCTGCTCCCAACAAAATAAGAAATAAAATCCCCAGGATAACTTGCACAGCCGGAGCAAAATAATCTAGTAGCCCCAAATTTGTTTGCTGAGGCACACCAGTCTCTCCCAGAAAAGTTGCTTGTAGCCAGTTCCATATTGAGCTCAGAGAAACATAATCTATTTTGTCCCAGATAGATGAAGGTGGAAATGTTGACATTTTAATACGGTAGCTGCTCCAGGAGCTACATGTGCAGAGGCTTCTGGGAGTCAGGGGAAGTGACCTGGGAGGCCAGGTGTTCTAGGGCCACTGTGAGCTGTGCTTTGTGACATCACCGTTCCAAAGGTTAGCTTGCTTCCCACTGGCCCAGGGCACCTTCACTCAAAACCAGCCAAGCACTGGCCTGGGTTTTCAGTTCTCATGTTGCCTTCTCTGAATCTTTGGCAGTTCCTGGTTCTAGCACAGCACTGTCCAATAGAACTTTCTGTAAAGAAGAAAATATATGTTCTGTCCAAGATGGTAGCTACCAGTTCCTTGAAATGTATAGTGTAGCAGAGGAAGTAAATTTTACATTTTATTTAATTTTAAATAAATAGCCACATGTGACTGGTGGTGACCCTACTTGGACAGTATTGTCTAATAATCTATGGAATGAACACCAGTATTTTCATATGACAAATGAGAAAACTGATGCTATGTGGAGCTTCGAGGAGATGAGATTTAGAGAGGGCTTTCCTAAAGATTGTAAAGTTTATGTGATAAATGCAGAGATAACGTTGTTGCTGGATCGTTTTGTAGCATTCCCTTTTTGCCTATGTCACCACTGTTTAGATCTATTGTTTAGAAATTGTGATCTTTGGGAAGGCTTTTAACATTTGACCCTCATTCTGCTCATCTTTTTACAGGGGGGTGTTCCACCTCCTTAATTTATATTAGGAACAAATGGTCTAATACTGTAAACATGTAAAGAGTAGCCCAGGGCACTGTAAACTATCCGACGTTACCAAATCACTTACTTACTGATTAGTACCTATCTTCTCAGCAAGGTGATGTGAAAATATAAAATGTCTGATCTCTTCCAAAAGAGCTTATTACACTGACAAGATAGCACACAACACTGATCCTCCACAAGATGGTTTGCACTAGAGGAGGGGAGCAGGTTCTAAGGAAAGAAAAGGTCAGTTATGACAAATCATTTTTAGAAAATACTGTTTGATGCTACTAAAAATGAGCAGTTTGCTCATTCTGTTCGACTGAAAGAACAGGAATAGCACTGCCTGATGGGGAAGGGATACCTCGTTTTGTTCTTTCAGGGAGGGGAGGTATAGTGAGTTACTTGAGGTGTCAGAGACACATCCAGAAAACGGGAGTCTAGAAAGCTGTTGGAAATACATAGTACTTACGTCGGGAGAAGTGATTTAGGAGTGACTGCTGTGGGTGTTAAGTAAACCCATAGTCTGCTAGTGACTAACAGCCAGAATCCAAAATTTTTAGTAAGGACTAAGTTACTCAGGTTAAGACTTGGGATTTGACTAGAACAGGGATCAGAAACCATTCAACAGTAGTAACCAGAAACGTGTTGGAGAAAGGGGCTGTGACTGCTGAATCATTGCCTAACACTCCTCACATTCATTCAGACCCCATTACAGAGCACTTTATACTCTACTTTCAAAGCACTTAACACGACTATAGCGATTTGTGTGGTTTTTGGATTATATCAGTCTTCCTTGTCTGTTGTAAACCCAGAGGACAGGGACCATATCCATTTTATCGACTACTGTATCCCTAGTGCTTGGTGCATGGCATGCATAAAACTATTTTTAAGTAAATATAATGCCCCCCAGGAAAATTGGAGCCTAATCTGTTCAGTCATCAAGCACCTACCCCGTATTTGTGTGCTAGTTTGTGTAGAGGCTTTATACAGTAGCAGTGACGAGGACGAGCCTTCGACAGCATAGAAGGTCTGAGTTCAAATTCTTACTCTGCTATTCACTACCCTTGTTACCCTGGGAAAGTCCCTTAACCTGTGGCTCAATTCTTCATTTGTAAAGTGGGAGTTATTCTTACTTTGTAGAGCTATAATGAAAATTTGATACTTCGTGTAAAAGTACCAGGCTACATATATAGATAATGGCAACTATTGATACTATTTGTAGTGACATTTCTGACCAAACACAAGGGACTGTAAATCTCAGTAATATAAAGGTGCCTCAGAGAATCTAGGCCAAAAAACCTATCTGATTCTCCACCTGGACACCTGAAAACTCCCAATGACCAGGGATTTGCCACTATGGAAGGCACTGCGGCCCACCTTTAGAGAGTGTCATCTAGCCACGGAGCCAGCCAGCCAGCACTCAGTCACATCCACTCGGTAGCCTGCAACACCGTGCCCTAGCAGGACTTTGATGTATGCAACATTTACTTTAACCTTCATTTTCCTTGTTTGCCTTTCAAACAAAATGAAAAATCTAGAACATGGTTACAAGGTACCAAAATACCTGGTTCCTTGCTACCTACCCAACCCTATCTTCTTCCCTTTCCACGGTTTCTTTCAACTAGACTCGTCAATGTCACTACCACGCTGTTGCACCATGAAGTCTTCACATATAATGGAATTATCCTCTCTGGCTAACTCCTGTCCATTCTTTGAATTTCAACTTGAACATCACTTCCTCAGGGAAGCTTTTCCTGCCTCTTTTTGGTTCCCATCACAGGGCTTCTATAGCAGCACTTTTATTTAACTATTTTTAGTATTTCATTTAATGTCTTCCTTACTAGACTCTAATCTCCATGATGCAGAAAATTTGTGTCATATTCAACACTCGTATCCCTATGAGCCAGCAGTGGTATGTGCTCAGTAAATATATGGCTATAGCTTTTCTGGCTTCTCTTTTCCAGGCTAAATATACCAAACCCAGGCTAAATCTGACTGTCTTGGTTACCTTCCTCAAAGTGGTTCAGACCTCCAAATGCAGTCTGTCACGATCTATTTCTGCACATGGGGACCCAGCAAGTCAAAATAAGAGTGGGCCACTCTTTCTAGACTCAGCTTTGCATAATGGGAGGCTTTGCCCTGAATCTGTAGTGTAAAGCCAGGAGGCATCATTCTACTGTGGGAGTGGGAGGTGGGGAGGAGAGGAAACTGAGCAACTTTCCTGGCTTTCAAAAGATTCTTTAAGAGACGCTGACATTTTCCAAGTTACATGTTGTTCACAGAAAGAATTTGCACCTGTTTTCCATCTCTCCTCATGTGAGGAAATGTCGCTACTGGGTATAAGGCTGGACTTGGGTCTGCTAGACCTGGCTTTTACCTACACCTCAAACTTGATTTCCCACTCTTCACGTTCACAAACAATGCACTCAGTCTAATTACAGAATTGTGGTATTTTCGGTACCTTAAATGCCACCTGCAACTTTCCCTCTTTCTTCCTGCACATTAAGTTCCCCTCCATGATAGTCTTCCTGTTAGAAGAGATGGGAAAATAGGCTCTACCTCTTCCTAGTGTCATCAGCTAGGCAAGATACTTCATCTTTAAAGCTTCTGTCAGTGAAGGGTAACAGGACCAACTTCATGGAGTTATAAAAAGTCAAGATAATTTTCTGTAAAGTGCAAAATGTAATTGTCCTGAATTCTCACCGAACATCCCACTTTGTATTCTAGGCCACTGCTTCTGGAACTTTTCTGTGTGTGTGAATTATGTCTGCGTGTCTAACAGGCTCGTAGGTCCACGCTGCTGGCCTGCTGCTGCTCTGTGATTAACAATGTGTAAGTCACCCCAGCCCTCACATTGAAGTTCTACAGGAGCAAATGACTTAACAAATTCACTTTGGTAATTTTATATCCCAAAGTATCTGGAACTATCTTTAAGTATCTGTGTACTTAAATATGTGGTTAATGACTGCCTCTGTCTTCTGGTGACTATGTCCTTGGCAGTGCAGCTCAGAAGTAGGCCACCTGGGACTAAGAGGATAGGATGAGAATGAAATCCCTAGAAAGGCCCATCAGAAATTTTTCTTCTCCATTGTTTTCTACTCCCTCTTCTTTTACATATGTGCTCATGAACATGGGGAGACACTGAAGCAAGAGAATTGTGGGTAAAAAGAATGAATGAAAATGCCTGGCACTATGTCTACCATCATTTTACGAGGCACTCTTATATTGAAAAAGGCTTTGAAACAAAGTATTTTTCAGTCTGTTATGAAACCCAGAGATACCAAGAAAAATAACAGTACCTAAAAGCTACATATGACACTTTGACTTTCTATATTATCATATAGTCACACGTACTGCTTCTAACATAAAACGCTGTCTTCAATGAAGATCAAAATGAAGCAAGCCCAACTGGAATAAAAATTATTTGGGGACAAACATTTGATCCTAAGTACTTGAAGCAAACTCAGTTGGATTCTGAAAATTGGAGTTTGGTTGCACTGCAAAGGGACTCACTTGGTCCTTCCAGGGGGTAGGAATTAGGTGTGGTTGAATGGATATAGTTCAGTCTCAAGCAAATAAGCAGCTTTCCCTCCTGTGACAGTTTTCTTAATGAGGCCACCAGTTGTTTCTCCTGCTTAGATCACAGAAGGGGACCTTTCAAGATTATCACCCCTATCTCCTTACTTTGTGAGGAAAATGAAGCCCACAGAAAAAATTCACTGAAGATCTCAAAGAGCCAGCAGTGATCTCAGCCTCTAAAATGTTCCTAAGATGTCCCACTGTTTCTGCCACACTTTCAAATCCTAAAATTTTTATTTACCATATATTTAGACTGTAAGATGCAACCCCCAAACTTTGGGGGAAAGGGGTGCGTCTTATAGTCTGAATGTAGCGTACCTGGCTCACTGTGCAGGGGGCGGACTTGGCAGCCTATGTTGTTTATTATTTTACCACATTTTTCACTTCAAAAATTTTTTCTTTTCCTTTAAAACATAGGTGGCACCTTATGGTCCAGCGCGTCTTATAGTCTGAAAAAATCTGTATTTTTAGAGAAAAAGGAAGGAGAGAGGGAAACATCAATGTGTGGTTGCCTCTTGTGTGCCCCCAACTGGCTTCTCAACCCAGGCATGTGCCCTGACTGGGAATCAAATGGGGCAACAAGGTTCCCAGGCCCCTGCTCAATCCACTGAGCTAGACCAGCCAGGGCTCCTTCAACAGATTTTTATTAGACAGTCCTGTAACTACTGTGATCTGAGTGAAGTGACATTTTGGGTGCTTTAGACTTAGGGGGAGAAGGTGGCAGAATGAAATTCCCAAAACACTGATAAAACAAGGCAACAAGGTTTAAGGGTCAGAGAAAAGATCTTAAAATCCTAACCACAGGCATAATAAAGGGATGTTAGAAGTGTCTGAGTCATTTCACTGCTAGCTATTGAAAGTGGTTGAAAACTTAATGAGGAAGAGAGTAACTTTATTCTACTTACAATACACTGCTTTCCTTGTCATTAGACAGATGTCCCACAGTACACTGAAACTCATCACATCCAATGACCAAACTCTTGTTTTCCATCCTCTTCCCCAAAACCCATTTTTTCCTTTTTTTATTTGCACCTAATTGGCTACATCATTTTACATCTTCCTGAAAATGTTTTCCTCGCCTCCAAGGCCCAAGAATATGCTCTAAATTCATAAATTTCATTTACTCTTCCTTCTACTTTAAATGTCCACAGACTCTCACCAAGTTTGCCTCAATTACCTCAGCAGTCTTATCTATTCCATTTTAGCCCCTCAAATCACATGTCTGAAGTGATCTATA